ATCCGAGAGAATTCAATCATCGGAGTTTCGACTATTTTCCATCCGCAACTGATCGTTTATTATTCACCTAGGTGATTAAGCCAGTTAAAAAGTATCTTCCGTGGTATAATCATTCCAATCGAATATAAATAAATCTGATTGAATGTTATCGAAAAATCGTTGAAATTCAATAAGAGAATCACTCGATCTCTTATATGTACCATTATTAATATGATTCTTCGTTCACGGAACAGTTTCAGTCTGGTCGATGATTCCACCCACCTCCGGAAACAAGTAGGTTTCGTCGGAACTGATTGAAAAAATGCATGAGAATCGTCATATCCGTCGTAGAATGTCTCCAGTTTTTTCAATAACATCTGGTTGTTTCCTATCGGAAATAGCAGGAAGTCTCAAGACAAAGCCGTAGACATTCCGGTCCGGAATCTTACACCCATGTTCGATCAATCTCCAGTGTCTTCTATTCAAAACTAGTCTGCATGCATTCACTTGTGTTATTGTAAATTTTGCTTCTTTCAATAAAGTTCTCTTTTGTTTTTTAATCTATACCTAATTTTAGGTGAAACGTCACTTGGTCTTATTGAAATATGTATTTTATCATTAACTTCTCATGATCAGAAATGTTTTATACCAAATAATATTCGTTCTGTATGGATAATATCATTTGGTCTCGCTATTGGTGCTATTGGTCTTCTTATATTAACTGTTCTTTTATTTCTTGCATCACAATATAGACAAACATCAACTATTGAATATGGTCGTTTAACTGGATTTATTGCTAGTAAATATTTAATTTTAGTTTTTCAAACTAAAAAGAAAAATCATTGATTTATGTGTATGTGCTTTTTTTTTATTATAGTGATCTTTTTATGTCTTTCAACTGTTCTTTTTCCGATGGGATTCGATTCAGAAATTATTGGTGGTTCACCATTTCAATTACCAACTGATTATCGAATAGGTTCAAGTTATGTTGCATTTATTGGTGCAACTTGGTTAACTGTACTTTCAGCAATAATTGCTGGAAAAATGTGTTTACCAAGATTTGTAACATAGTTTATTTGTATATATTTTGTTTTCATGTTTTTATCCAGAGTTTTTTTGTTTTTGTTTTTGTCTTAGTAGACAAAATGCATAGTGTGATAATTAATTTTAGATATTACATACAAATGGCTGTTAATTTAGTAACATCACGTCGAACATTACCAGCTCCAATGATTGATCGATCATCTTATTCAATATTTTCTGTGATTAAACAAGCTATTGGAAAAGATCTTACAAGATTTTCTATACCTGTTGTTTGGAATGGTAAAAATTTCATAAAGATTTATTTTGAATTTACTTAGATTTTTCTTCTTTAGAACCTCTTAGTTTTCTTCAACGTTTAACTGAATGTTTAGAATATTCATCGTTACTTGATCAAGCTGCATTAGCTAATACAACTATTGAAAGATTTCATTTTTTAACAGCTTTTATTGTTTCAACAATATCAACACATCTTGAACGAATGTCAAAACCATTTAATCCATTATTAGGTGAAACATATGAATTAAAAACAGAAGGAAATGCACCATTTCATTATATTGCTGAACAAGTTAGTCATCATCCACCTGTATCAGCTCTTCATGCTCGTGGTCAAAATTGGACTTTATATGCAAATGTTGAACCAAAAATTAAATTTCATGGAACAAATATCGTTGCTATATCAGAAGGTTAAAAGAAAAATTTGTTCGGATTTTTTTTGATAACAAATATTTCTTTGTTTGAAGATAAAAAAAAAAAGAAAAAAACTGTGAGTTTCACAAAAAAACAATGTATTATTTTCGTTTTTTTTAGGTCGATGGATACTTCGTATAAAGAAAAAAATTTCTTTATCTCTATCATCATCTCAATCAAGTTTTCAATCTTGTACCGAAGAAGAAGAAAAATCAAATGGAAAAGTCAATAAACATAATGATAATGATATAGAAGAAGAATATACGTGGAGAGTACCAACCGTACTTGTTCATAATATTTTATTTGGTCGTCTTTGGTGTGAATTTCAAGGACAAGTTGATTTAAAACATACACAATTAAATCGACGATCTATTATAACTATTAAATCACATTCATGGTTTGCATCACAATCAACTAAAACAGCTGAAATGTTCAAATATATGGGATTCATTTATGATGGTAAATATTAATTTATCAGAGATAATTTTTCCAAACTTATGCAATGTAATACGAGGGGTTTCAGTGATAATAATATTACCGTTCGCTTTTTTTGTCAACAAAAGAAAAAAGTGATTACCTCAACTAAGATGTGCGCTGTGCTATCCTCTGCGCCTTTACTAGAGTGCTGCATCGGACTACAAAATCCAACTCCGTCGGAGTTACTAAAAGAAATTTTTTCGGAATCGGAGTTGATATAAATTATAGAAACTTCGAAAACTCTATAGAGCATTGATTTTTGACGATTTTAATGTCAAATCAATAATCAGATAACATGAAAAAGACAAAATAAAAGATCAGCATCATTCAATATCTCCACGTTCGTTATTAGATGTATTTTCATCATGTTAAAAGGATATTCTACCCTCTTTTCTTCACTATTTATAGTTTTCTAAGAAGCTACTACCAACAAGAATGAAATTTTTACCATAGATAGAACATCTAAAATAAGGAGATATGTATTAGAAGAAAAAAATCTATACAAGGTTTTCGCACTAGAATCATAGATTCTTGTTTCATGCATATATATAAATTGTCACTAATTGACGGAAAAAAAAATTCGGAGTTAAAACAGCATGACTCCGCAGATCTCTAGACTTCACTCACATTCTTCTCCTTTTGACTTTAACAGACAGTGGGAGTATAGTTTTAGTTTATATATTATAGCTAATAAAAGTTCCCACCATTACTTGTTTTTCTTGGATGCAATTAGTGTTGAATTTCTTCATCTTTTTATGTTGAAAAAAAAAGAACAAAACTTTTATTTTTATTCAGGTAAAGATAAACTCGGTGCATTTCATGGTAATTATGGTCATTGTTATTATGCTATTGATAATATGAATGATATTCAATTAAAACCTTCTTCTCGTTGTTCAGCTGGTGGACATAATTGTGTTCATCTGAATTCAAATGCATTAGTATCAACACCATGTGATCTTTTACTTCTACCATCATCTCGTCTTATTTGGCATCGAGATCTTTCATCTATGACTGATAGTGAATTAGCATCAAGATATCAATATTACTTTTTTACTCCATTTGCTATTCGTCTTAATGAACAAACAACTTCATTGATATTACCACCAACTGATTCTCGATATCGACAAGATGTACAATATCTTGAAAAAGGTGATACAGATGCAGCATCATCTGAAAAACATCGTCTTGAAGAACAACAACGTGCTGATGCAAGAAAACATGATTATGATTTTCAACCATTATGGTTTAAAAAAGATGATAATGACGAATATATTTATACACATCAATATGAACAAAGAAAATTTGATCATTGTCCCAATCTTTTTTCTCAATCACCTCATAGATAAATATTTATTTTGCATATATTCAGTGATTTTGTTTTCTTTTGATTGTTTTATAGCTATACATATATTCAGCTCAAGTATTTTTTTTTTTCCCTTTGTTATTATATATGTATGTTTATTATTTAATACAATAATTAAAATTGAAAAATTTATTTATTCAAAAAAAAAAAATACTTGAAAAGAAAAAAAATTTTAGGTTTTATATGCAATAATCATTCGATATCATGAAAGTGAAGACGTTTGCAAATCAAAATGATTTCGATATGATCGTATGGAAAATACTTTTGAAAAACAAAATGTAACGCATTGTTACTCACTACGAGATGCGATTGATAAGGTTATATACATCTGCTATCCTGCTTGAATTCCGAGGGAAAGTGACAGTGGAACGCATGTTTGACAGAGTCGTAATTCTTATTTCACTTCCCAGAAACTTTAATTTGCAGACATATGATTCAGTCACAAACAGCATTGCTAGAGAATGAAGATTTGCTTCCTGGAATAGATTCGTAGATGATCTCGCTGGTAAACGGTGATTGAATATTCGTTATCGAATAGCGAAAACTGCAGTAAACAGGAGCTACAAAATAAGCAACAATTATATGGATTATGAAAAATTTTTAAAGCGACTAATTTAGTGCTTATCCTCGTATAACGCTTAATGATCCATCAGAAGAGTTTACTAAACATTCGTATTTATATCAAGTGGAAAACAGCTGATGGTTTAAATTTTTAATAAAAAAAAAATATCGAATTAATTAAAGAAATGTATCAAAATCATCAGGTTTTTTTATTCAAGACATCAATTATTTGATTATATTATTGAAATGTATGAAGCCTATTTTTTGACTGTAGGACTTCATACACAGTGCTAAAATATAAAGAGTTATGTTATAAATACATATAACATTTATTGTTTTTAGCTTTTCTTTATAGTTCAGATCTAAAAAATAGATGGAAAAAGATTTAAAACAACGAAACTATGAATTTTGAACTGATCTAATTGCTTCTATCGAAGACGAAGACAAAAGACGTTCAACCGTATGTGCTATTTCTTCCAGAAGTTCTGAAATGATTTTAAAACTCATCATTCTTGTATTCGACGAAAGCAAAGTTTTTGCAATTTTGTGAGATTATTGTACCTATTATCCACGTCAAAAAACAAATGGACTCGGTTGTTCGTTGAAAAACTCGGCATCACTGGTAGTTATCGAGCTCGAGTTTTTGCCATTAGAAAGAGCATGAGTGGAGGTACAAGTCTAGCTGAGAATCAAGATACTTGATAAGTTTTCTAGAGAGTTCCAGAGATTTTTGTGAAAAATCACTGTCTGATTCGCTTGATTAGGGGTATTTTTAAGTGAAATTGGAAATCCAATATCTCGAGAAAAGAACAACCTTTTTGGCTAAAACTTTTAGGATATTTTATGAGTCATTAGAGCCCTTCATGAACAAATTTTCAGATCAAAATTCCATAATTTCATTTTGCGGTAAATACTTGGAGACGGATCGAAAATTCAGTAAAAATGGTTATCACTTTTTAAAGAAAAGTCAAAGCGCCTAAAAATTTCGTGGTTTATAAAGTGGTCATTGGGCTACATTATGGCTGAATTAAAATTGAAAATACAAATAATCAAGCGAAGCAGAGAGTGATTTTCCAGAAAAATCCTGGAATCCTCTTGAAAACTTTTTAAGTATTTTGATTCTCAAGTAGACTTGTACCCTCATTAATACTTTTTCTAACGGCGAAAACTCGAGCTCGATAGCTATTAGTATTGCCAGATTATTCAGCAAACAACTGAGTCCATTCTTTTTTGGAATGGATAAGATAGATTTTGCTATAGATGTGAAACTGTAACAATATTCTCATTCACTATTTTGGGCGTAGTTGCCATTCTATATGAAGAGAATATTTACACGCACACCCCGCTCTCCGTTTAAACACAATAGACCTTGACATTTGTGCGGATACGTAGGCATTGTTGGTTAATTAGCGTACGAATTATCTTACAAGAAAAAAAATAACATGTGATGCAAAAGTTTTTGAACAAATGTCAATCTATGTTAGACCCAGAGGCCGAAACGGGGCAGATTTTTCATTCCCCGCCCCGCCCCGGCCCGTCGGAAGCTTTCTCCACCCGACCCCGCCTCGCCCCGCTCTTTATTTTTTTGCTTTCCCGACCTCGCCTCGCCCAGCTCTTTAGGTTATTTTGCTTCACCGACCCCGTCTCGCCCCGCCCCGACTTTCATCGACTCTTTCTTAATGCATATATGAATTTTGAATGTGAAACTGAAGAACAAGAAAGTTCTTGCAACGTTTTTGCAACTTGAAAAGTTTCTATTTCTCAATTGTCTTGAGTTACTAAGCTTGAATTCTAACGAAAAATACATGAAAGTGTAGAGCATCAAAAGTTCTATCGATATCAGCTTTGGTAAATTTTTTCAAAATTGGCTCTTGACTCTTTTATAAAAACATGGCAAATCGAAATGTTTCTAAAATAGAGTTTTTTGCAAGGACTAATGATTTAGAAGGAGCTCTATCACAATTTCTAGAAACTATATATGAACTAAAATCTTTGTGTGTTATTTGTTTCAAATATGTCAGATCCTAGAAACTTAGCCGAGAAAAGGATTCAAACCCTCTCTTTTATTGTTACAAAGTGGTCAGGTAGTAAGAAAGGCCAAATCATACAGTGTCATCCAGAAAAAGCTATATTTTTTTGAGAAAACCAAGACTAAATTTAAATTCGAATACACCGTTGGAAAGAGCACCCTTTATGCTAGAAAAATCATCATTCAACATGCGTTTTAATTTTGCTCCCGATATAAAAAAAGATGAACAGAAAATAGAAAATGATGTTGCGTGAAAGTGAAGTTGCAAGAACTTCTATAGAGGCGTTTGGTTTTTGACTTCTCCTGCTTCGTAGATTTGTTCTGGAAAAATAAGTCTAACACAAAATCTGTAGTTCAGACTTCGCTCTTTCTAATAAAAAAAAATTTGATTAGTTTAGAAGTAAGCATTAAGGTCTAACATAGGTTGATATTTGTGCAAAGACTTTTCCATCATATGTTATTATAGGGACAACAATTTTGTTGACTTTTTACTCTTTCTTCTCTTTTTTTAATGCAAGTCTGTGAAATGATTTTTTAGCTCTATCCAAGGTATCCTAAGTCCTGTTGGCACTTACAGAAATGCATGGAAAAATCTTACATATACATGTATGTCCCTATCGTCGTCATATTGCGCATACTATTCATACATTTGTTTTTGTTTAGCGATTGTGGGGTTTATCGACTGTAGTCTTTCAACAAGATCTGTCTGGTCGCGTGCGTGGGAATACAAGCATCTTACACAGCGTACTGAGTAGAAGAAAATATTGAATAATTTTTATTTATCGTAGAGAAAAAATGTAATTACATTTTACTTTTTACAAGTTCAATGTTTCTCTGCACTTGTGCGATATGTGGATGTCCTGGTAAGAGAGATTTTTGCAGGATATCAAGAGCTCGTTTGTAAAATGAAAGTGCTTTCGAGTACTCGCCCATGTCTTTATACACGAAGCCGATGTTGTCGTAGGAAGCAGCTAAGTCGGGATGATCCGGAGGAAGAATTTTTTTCTGAATATCGAGAGATTTTTCGAAAAATATAAGTGCTTTCGAGTAGTCGCCAATGCTATAATATACCGAACCGATGCTATTATACGAAATAGCCAAAGAGGGATGGTTCGGAGGAAGAGTCTTTTTAAAGATATCTAGTGCTTTTTCTTTAAAAGAAAGTGCTTTCGAGTACTTGCCATTATTTTTATATACGAGGCCGATGTTATCGTAGGAAGCAGCTAAATCGGGATGATTTGGGGGGAAGAGTTTTTTCTTGGATATCGAGACATTTTTTGAAAAATAAAAATGCTTTTGAGTAGTCGCTCATGCCTCGATACACCATACCGATGTTGCTATAGGCAATAGCTAAGTGAGGATGGTTCGAAGGTAATGTTCTTTCTTGGATACTGACGGCTTTTTCGTAAAATGAAAGTGCCTGTGAGTAGTCACTCATGTTCTGATACACCATACCGATGTTGTTGTAGGTAGCAGCCAAGTCGGGACCGTTCGGCGGCACGATGTTTTCCTTGATATTCAATGCTTCTTCGTAAAATGAAAGCGCTTTAGAATAATCGCCCATCCGATCGTACATTCAACCAAGTTGATGATTGTAGTACGCTCTATTTTTATCGGAAGATGCCTTTTGAAGGAGTAGTTGATAAAGTCGCTCTGCTTTTCCAGATTCTCCCAATTTATTAAGTATAATACCCAGTCGGGGCCATCCTTTTTCCGCCGAATTGATGAGCGCATGTATATGTGCCGTGAGAGTATTTAAATCATTGTCATCATTACCCATAAAAGTCAGAGCAACTTGCCACAGGCGATCTGTGTGATCATCGTCAATGTGTTCGATTTGATCGATGTGGAAAATAGTGTGCGTAGAGAAGAGAATTTCATCCTCTTTATCCTCATAGTAGCCGACTTTTCTGACGTCGGCAAAAGGAGTCGATGATATTGCACAGAGTGTAGGATCGATAGTCAAGACAAAGAGTATCCCGACTGAATTTGTATTATGAAGTGCCTGACGAGCAAAGTTGAGAAAAACATTTCGATTTAGACTGGTCGAGAGGAAGTTGTTAAAAGACATAAGTCCTCTTTTTGTCTGTTTCATTTTTTCAAAGTCTTGGACAGATAAACCTTGACCTCGGTAGACTTTAAAAAGTGCCTTTGTTACAGTCGATTGTTGCTCACGATGTAATTGCTCAATATGCCGATGTAAGTGTCGAATGAAGAATCCCGTTTTGAGAATAATGTCGACATCAAGTACTCTAAGACCTTTATTGAGCATCGAATAGATAAAATACGGAGCTGTATACCACCAAATGGGTGTATAACGGTGATATGCTAGTTCAACTTTTTGAATATCGTTTTCAGCGATATCATCTTGAAGACGACAGTATTCAGCGAGTTGTTTGATGGAATTAGTATTGTCATCGTCGTCAATATCCAAAAAAGTTTCTTTAAGCAATTGTGTATACATGAATAATGGGTCAATGCCATGAAAACTGATTGAGATCGAATCTTGATCACATCGTTTGCTATCGAGTTGCAATTCTTGACAAATAGAATCGATATCAGTGTAAATACCCTTTATCTTTGATAGTTTTTTGGCTCATCGTTGATGAATCGATTGATTGGCACAGAAGACATAAATGGATTCTAATTGTGGCCATGCATGAATTATTGGTATTATATATCGTCCCTGTGAGCCAGATACAATCATGAATACTTTTTCATTTTTAATTTCACTGAGAAAATCAATACATTGTTCAACGTCTGTAAATGTTGTGATTGACGCTACAATATGCCGTAGTTGTTCTATTGATTTTTTAAACTCATCTTTGAACTCTTCAAAGTTAGCATCGAGCCAGATAAGAAGAAAATTTTGTAGAATTCGCTGAACACGCTGGGGCAGTACAGCATCTCTACTAGTGCTTGTTGTTGTTGACTTTGGTGTATCCATGATAAATAGGGAATCAATGGATAAATGGAATGAACACGATTTTGTCTTTCTACAATTATTGTCGTTTCTTCCTTTTGTTGACAGCTTTTTCCTGGCTGATTTCTATTTACTTTAGGGACTTTGGGTCGATCATTCGCTCATTTTAAGAGTGCTGCTGACAAATGACGACGAATGGAGTCTCTGCACATCAAGAAAGCAAGCAAGAAAGAAAAACAAGAACAAAAAGAAATGAAATGCATAGTCATCATCCATAGAAAAGAAAAAAAAATGAAAAATCGCAAATATAATTAATGAATTATGTTTCTTTAGTTGCCAATTTTTTTGGCACATAGTAAGTGATGTACGTTGGAGCATGCCGTAAAAAGAAAGTGTAGAATAATAAACTCTACAAAAGAGTTTACTGCCTTTATAACCATGCATGGATTTATAAAAGTGAGATGTATTCAAAAAGGGTTTATGAGGCTAATAAACTATTTTCGTGACTTATTATTCTATGCTGCTATTTTTACAGTGCAGCAAGCAAGTAGACGACAAGAAAGAGAGGAAGGATACAACATCCAAGTGTTTTGTTTTTGGATTATTTGGAATCAACTAGATTCAAAACCAAACTGTGCAGAAAAAAGAAATCCATTATTTATTAGCTTATTGCTTATTTGATTCTCTGACTGATTATACTCATGAAAATTAGAATAGGGTGCGAATGTGAGTGTGGATGTGGATGTAGTTCTACTCCTAACCCACATCTATCCACACCCACACCCCGAAGATTCTATCATGTGTTAGTTCAGAATTTTATTCTCTTAAACAATAGCACTGATAATCACGACAAGATCATACACATATAGAGCAAAAAATTCTCCATCTTCTCATGTATGATACTTTACTTTTAGCTTCGATCTTGATTAGCACACATTCACATAAACTGCTTTTTATGTGCAAAAAAATAGGGAAGTCGCAGTTGTACAATTTAGGTGTTAATTTTGTGAACTTTACGCCGACAAAACAAATCTATTTCATAGAAAAAGCAGATCATATTGTAGAGAAATAAATTCTCTATCGAGTGAGACTAGCATCAGAATTGAAAAAAATCGTTAAATGCCTCAACGATAAAAAATAAAAGTAGGACATTTATTATGGGGCATCAATTAGTTTGATAGACGTTTCTTCGCGCTACATTTTTCATTATTTAGTTTTTGAAACAATACTCAGGGAAACATATAATATTGGTATTAAGTTTTTCTTCAGCTTTTTCAGAAACTTTTTGGAGATTATTTTGTTTAAGAATTTTTTCATTCAGATTTAAATTCTGAAAATTGATATCGTTTTCGTGGTTTAGAGTTCGTTTTTTTTAAAAAGAAAAAAAATGTAGGATTTCATATGTAGGAAATTTGGTATAATATGATTCGATATCTTTGAACAAAATTTTGCATCATCCGTTAGTTATAATCAAGTTGCGAAAGTAAAAAAATGTCCTTGTTGTCTCTGTAACTTGTGAATTATTTTAGAAGAGCCCGAAATAATTGAACAGCCATCGAGATGGTCGCTACATAGCCAGCCGTAAAGCCTAGAGATCGCGATGGTTGCGGCAATGCTAGCTTCAACATAAACAAAGATTGTGTACATCTCATAATGAAAATTACATTACCTGATAAGCAATCGTATGAAATATACGAGAGAAAAAGAAGACACGAAAATGCCAGAGAGCTACAACTGGAGTTGGATTCGTGGCGACGTAGAGGGCACCAATCACAAAAAATGGTAGAATATTTTCAATATCATTCAAATGATTTCGACGAATCCGTTCGACATCTGGATCTGATAGTGTTACTTTTGCCTCTTTATTGCTGCCCAATGCAATATCTTCAGGATTGGCGAATATCTACAACACAACCATTAAAACAACAAAGAGCACACGCACAAGAAGGTCAATTTTACATTCTTAGCCAGTCGCTGTCGACTGGTAAGCAGTGACATGGCCATCATTTTAATAGTTGATGCCGCTGCATAAAAAGCAAAATTTGTGAAGATCGGATTGGTGAGTGAATAGATTGCCGACATAATGTTGAAGAATACGATGATTTTGACGAAAACAATCAAAAGCAGTTGAAGAATAAAACTATTCTAATGCGCTGGCTTGCACAACTCGTCAAGATTGATGCAGAAAGAAATGGCGTGGTCGAAAGATAAAGCCAACCAAGTAAATATTGATAACCGACTTGTGAGACTTTATTTCATTTTTTTTAAAATTTTTCTTCAACTCACTATGACGCACTAAAAAGAAATAAGGTCATTGTGACGGTATACGCGAATCAATATACATCTGGAAAAATTATTTGCGGTTGATTTTCTTGCTATATCATTACTATACAGTTACATTTTAAAAAAAAGTAATTCTATATTCTAATAGCACTCGAAATTCTCTATCACCCTACATCTTTAAGCCTCGACTTGCACTTGTTTATCTATCAGAATTCATAAGAACTTCTTAGGCAATCAAATGCTGTTTGTACTAATAAGTTCTGAATAGTTTCTTGATTGAGTCATATTGTTATGAATAGTGGTTTTTTCTAATCCTATAAAGTTATTGTTTCTATAGGTCCGCCAGCTTGGTTTTTTCGCTAAATATATAATTCAATGTGCTGTTTTTGGTGACATCATTTTCAACTTGAAATTCGATATTTACTAAGGTACTTTTGATCTACGCGCTATACTCTACAGTCAGTTTATATCTTTTTTGACTAGTATTCGACAATTTTCGTGCTGAAAAAACTATGTTTGACTTGAAACGATTGTTATTTTTGAAATCAATATAAAAAACTCAGTTGACTAAGGTGCTTTTCGAGTTGTTTCTGTAACTTTTTCTTTTTGTCTATTTTCGATCTCTGGTCGTCCTCAAGGATATATGAAAACACGAATATCATAAAGACAACTATTTAAATATCTGAAAACGCTTGCTTGTATCTTTAAATAGCATTGAACAAATTCGGAATTGTGTTTCCACTGCCAAAATAATTTTTAAAATGAAGTTCATTTTTTCATATATCTCTGAGGACGACCAGAGATCAAAATTAGACAAAAAGAAAACGTCGCAGAAAGAACACGAAAAGCACATAAGCTAGCTGAGTTTTTTGTATTGATTTCAAAAATAATAATCGTTTCAACCCAGTCAAACAAAAATTTTGAAAAACGCGTTTAAACGCACAATCGGGAACCACGACTGTGATCCATTCACGCTCATTAAAAAAACGCATGAAAACGCGTTTATTGGCGTGTTTTGTAACTTTCTGGGCGTCAAAACGGCGAAAATTCCAGTTTTTGAGCGTTAAAACGTTTTGTTTTTAAGTTCTAGAATAATAGTGCGTTTTAACGGTCAAAAACTGGAATTTTCGCCGTTTTGACGCTCAGAAAGTTACAGAAAACGCCAATAAACGCGTTTCCGTGCGTTTTTTTAATGAACGTTAATGGCTTACAATCGTGGTTCCCGATTGTGCGTTTAAACGCGTTTTTCAAAATTTTTGTCTGACTGGGAAGCTGAGCATAGTTTATTCAACACAAAAACTGTCGAATATTAATCAAAAAAGATATAAACTGACTGTAAAGTATAACGCGTGGACCAAATGTATCCTAGTAAATATTGAATTTCGAGTTGAAAAGGGTGTCATCAAAAACAGCATATTGCATTACATATTTAATAAAAAAAAAAAGAAGAGCTGGTGCACTCCTAGAGAGTAGGTTGGATGTGTGCCCCTGATGGGGTGCAAATGTGTGAGTCCAGGTATGAGTATGGTTGAAGGAAGGACCTATAACTCTGTCAACAACCATACGCTAAACCTATCATTTTCCGGTGGCTTTCAAACACCATATTTTCCTACATGGGACCTGATCTCATGAGTGAATCTTCAAAAATCTGATTCACATGTTTCCAGCATAACCCGGTCCAGAATCCTGGTCCCAGGATCTGATCAGATTCGACTTGATCTGTTGGACAGTTTCGCATTTCCGAGTTTTAGCCTAGAATTTGATCCTCATTGATTTTACATAGTAGGGTGTGAGTCTGGTTGACAGTTTTTACTAGAAGAGGCAAGGGGGAAACGGCGGACTTTTGGACTTGAAGTTACTTTGAGCTACTTTAAGCTACTTCAAGTTACTTTAAGCTACTTCAAGTTACTTTCAGCTACTTGAAGTAGCTTACTTTGAAGTATTTTTCAACTTCAAATTTACCTGAAGTTACTTGAAGCTACTTGAAGCTACTTGTTCCTACTTTGGGCTACTTGGGTGGTACTTTGAGCTACTTCAAGTAGTCTACTTTGACGTACTTTTCTACTTCAAGTCCGCCGTTTCCCCCTTGAGAAGAGGTCACCCCATACATATGCATATGCACATGCACACCCACATCAAACACCCACACCCACTGTTTTGCGATTTCGAAAATCAAATTTCACTGTTGAAGTGGGATGAATGATGTTACATCTACGTCGTTGTCTCGAAATGAACGTGTTTGGTGAAGCGGCAATTCGAACGTGTATCAATGGAAAATTTTCCTGGCAGAAAACAATGGATCGGAGAAAGAGAGTACTGAGAGATAAAATACTGGAAAAAAAAATAAAAAAATGGAAGAGAATATAACGCCAAAATCAGTTCGCTATTTTCAGTTAAAATATATGTAGGTTACTGTTCCAGAAGTATGCCCATGATCATTAAACACATGATGTTATAGACTTAAACAACTGTTCATTGCTGAACGTTGATACAGTCTAACCAGCATAGCTTGACATTGAGTATGACGATGGTGCATTTGTTGAACAATTCACGGAAAAACTGGGGTAGTTTCCAGGGCCAAAGCATCCAGTTATATACGGAAATTTTCGTGTTGTAAAATAAGCGTATTCGCCAGCTGAATTATAGAACATACCATTGCATATGTCGTAACCACTTGTTACCTGAAAAAAATCCAAGGAATTAACTTTATTATAGATTCTCTAGCATTGATAAATACATATTGACAGATATTACGTCATATTTCATTGACCAAAATATGTCAATTGTACAAGAACGGCGAGACCGAAGGATGAAGTGGATACAGACAGGTAACAGCTAGGGATCTAAGTTTAGTTTTCAGATTTTTATTTATATGATATCTAACGCTAGAGAACATGTGATTATATACTTAATCACGCTGTTGATTTTTCGAAACACGATTTAAATAGAATGTTTAAGTATAGGAATAGAAATTTGAACTATTCTCCCATCTCGGATGTTAATGACGTCTACCCAGTCAAACAAAAATTTTGAAAAACGCGTTTAAACGCACAATCGGGAACCGTGACTGTGATCCTTTCACGCTCATAAAAAAAAACGCATGAAAACGCGTTTATTGGCGTGTTTTGTAACTTTCTGGGCGTCAAAACGGCGAAAATTCCAGTTTTTGAGCGTTAAAACGTACTGTTTTTAAGTTCTAGAATAATAGTGCGTTTTAACCGTCAAAAACTGGAATTTTCGCCGTTTTGACGCTCAGAAAGTTACAGAAAACGCCAATAAACGCGTTTCCGTGCGTTTTTTTAATGAACGTTAATGGCTTACAATCGTGGTTCCCGATTGTGCGTTTAAACGCGTTTTTCAAAATTTTTGTCTGACTGGGTACTTAAGAATTGAGTACATCTATCACACTGCATTCCCAATATTATGGATACGTGACACTCCAGTCTATGGAATATCAATCGATGCAAAAAATATTATTTTAGTCTTTTATATCTCACCACTGAAAAGAGATAGAAGTCTAAGATGTTTACCGAAGATAGAACTCATGCAAATGTATTTTTAATACAATTTTCAGATATGGAACTCAACTATTTGAGCTGAAGCTTTTTTGGTGAAATCGCCATAATATGAATCCGCAGAAATTTTAGTTCAATCGGTTGAATCATTGTTGAAACATAAATTTTACAATTCCTTTTCGAACAAAGGTTCTCGTTTTGAGAGACTTTTATAAAAAAAAATCCATAAAACTATTGCTTCTACGGCATATCTTAAATTGAGTGAGAACTTTCATTGGCCACGGTTCCGTTGTTAGCAGTCGTGGCTTGCATGGACCAGCTCATAAAAAACACGGTTTCTACTATAGTTTCTTATCATTATTTTTTAATTTTTATAGTATGATACGAATTACTGATTGAAGATTCTAATTAAGTATATAGTTTACGCACAGTGAAGAGTGTTACCGGAAATGTTGAAATTGATATATTGTTTTGAGACCGATGTATGAACTTAACAGGATTACTAAATAGAGCTACACAATGATGGGAGAATATAGTGACTATGTCAATAAAACCAGGCGATAAGCAAACATACACATTAAAAAAATTAAAAGTTCTTAAATGAATAACATTACGGATAAGTGAGTTGAAAAAACTTTAGATGATCATGGTTAAGTGTAGGTTATACCTACACACAATATCAATTGACTAGCTAATATGCCTCTATAGATTGCTCCTGGTTCCATTTTTGTGAACGCTAAGAGGAAGGTTAACCATCATTAGGCTGAGCTTTCTCCAATTTTTGGAGGAAACTTGGGTGTAAGGAACAATTTTCTTCGATTGTGAATATCTGCTCTATGGAGAAGTATCCTCTGCATTCGCTTCCTATACAACTGCTGGTATTTCGTTCTTTGATTGTAATCTCTTTCATCGTACTATTAATTCACATGGTGAGAAGCAATATATAGAACAAAACTTAACGATTTATAACCTTTTTCTCACCATTCTACACGGAACTAGAACTCGTATGGTAAATGAAGAATGAAGTTCATGCTGTTTTTTCTTACCTCTGTGCCAGTGGAGTCATAGGGTCCATAAATAACATGACCATCTTTAGCTATTCCAATTAATGTCAAAGTACGATATGAGTTATATAATGAGATAGCATAGGCGGCAATACTTGAACTACAAGAACTAGTTGATGCACATGATGCAATAGTACCTGATGGTGGACTCAATGCACAGCCTGATGCCATATGATAATGATAAATGTTCTGTATATTTGGATGTCCTAAACATGCGTCCACCGTTTCGGCTGTATTGCCTGCTGTTGGATAAAACGGATCAACATTATTTGCACTGTTCACATTCAGAATAGCAACACTATCGACACTAACACCTGCAACTGTATCCATTTGATTACCATAGACCGTCAGACTCGATGCAGATGGAGCTGATTGTTGATTATTGATGTTGCAAACGATCGAGCTTAATGCTGATGCACTTGCAGCATTCTGATTAAGTGAATTGACACTAACACTGGGATTGAAATTCACTGCGAAGTCAATGTTTTGTTCGCTAATAGCCGCAGGCGAATTGGGACAAAATCGTGGAAGCCCGTTGGATTGAACACGAATACGAACAGTTGAAGTTCCAGAACATGTGACACACAGCTTTTGATAAAATACACATGTACTACCGGAATAAGTGCCGGGACACGTTGCAGCAGTAAATCCTGAGCTGCATGACACACGATAGCCAGTCGTGGCAGTAATCAATGCAACCGCAGTGGTATATGAGCCACATGTTGTCTTGAACTCCGCAGCTACTGTATAGCAATTAAGTGTTGAGCTGCTGCTGCTGCCTGTACAAAGAATCAATTAGCAGTTGAGCAAGAAGAGTAAAGTAAGGAAGACGCTGACATTTGTTGAACCAACGGCCGAAATGTAAAACAGTTTTCAGTATTTATATGAAGGAGGAAAAGGAAAGGAAGATTTCCACAATTACGATGACTATGGAAGTCATTTGAGAGCCTTAAGTAGACCCCTGCGAAACAACATTTACTTGATCTCGTCTTTACCTCACTCCTGAAGCACTTGCTCCTGAAATTTTTTTGATCTACAATAGAACTCCCAAATTATAATTCAATTTTTATACGATATTTCACACATTTGTAGATTGTCATGAGACTAAAAACTCTAAAAAGAGTTGATTATCTGAATCTTTCTGCTGGAACTATGAACGATTTGCTGACTTTTGTACCTATATGCAAGATAGTAGCGGAGAATTCGAATGAACCTATTTTGTCTTCAGTTTTTGTCTAAAAACAGCGCTATTAGTTTTTTTGAATGTTCTGAAAGTCTTCATCAAAGTACATATTATTTTTTCGTGAAACTAGATTCTAAAACAGGGCTTACTTGATGTGACAAAATATTTCAAAAAATGGATATTACTTGAATAACTTGTACACGAGAATGAGAAAATTCGTTCGGACTAAAACTCAGCGATTGTTCTCGGATTAATTGTACTTATTTATGAGCAAAACTTCATCACAAAATTCTGTCTTCCGGTTTCTCTAAAAATACCGAATACTGTCAGCAAATCATTCATAATCCAAACTGAGAGATCAGAAACGAAATTCTTTCAAGTTTTTCTAGTTCAGATTTCTACATTGAACATTCTATTGGATTTGAATAAACATAAGTAATAACTAAGTATCACACCATAGATTTGAAAAGTGAATTAGACAAAGAAATATTTCAACTATTGAATTATGGACTTTTCTAGAAAAATAGTTATGTTCTGCAAACGATGGAAGAAAGCACCCAGAACATGTCTGATACGGTTTGAAACACAACTTGGCATTGTAGTTTGAACTTTTTTCACATAGAACCGAATAAATAATGACAGATGTTCCACAATGCCATACTATGGGTTATTTAATTTCAATCTGAATTTAAACAGAAAAAAGAGCACTTGATTTCAAATTGAAATAAGGGACTAAGGGGACTAAGGAGACTAAGGGGACTAAGGGGGGGGGGGGAAGAAAATGAGGGAGGAGAGAGGAAGTG